ATCGTTGTCCTCGAAATTCAATGGTATTAAAAATTTCATCAGATACAGATATTTAGGTACACATTTTTATGGGCCTAATAAGCCAAATTATCATATATTATTTTTTATATTTTTAATTAAAATACAACCAAAATAAAAAATGCCAATAAAAATAATAATAACATTATCAATACAGATATTAAAATAATTGGAATAACAAACCGTTGGCTAATTGTATTAGCATACTGTAGTGTTAATAGAAGTAATACCGGTATAACGTATGCTTATTACTATGCTTACGGAATACCGTATTAAGCAGAGTGTTATTACTCCTATTAACTGCTTATAACAAATACCGTAATAACACTATGCTTAATAGGAATAATATAAAAAGTGAAGTTATAAATGTATCGTCTTACTTCGGATATCAGACGAGTTTCTATGGATTTTTTACAACCGCAACTGTCAACTCCTAAAATAAAGTATAGCCTAATTTGGACGCTATCTCTCTTTACCAGATTTAAATGTTAAACGTGTATACATTAGATATTCGTCTAAGACACTCAACTTTGGTAAACGAATGTTTTTTCGATATAAAAGGTTCGTGGGGATTTTTAAGACTTTTAAGGTTCTCAAAGCATCGAAATACCATAACCATAGATTATATGCACAAAGTAAATTGATATCAAAGGCATATATTGGTCCAAACACTTATAATTCATGTGTGGGGCTTTGAATATTTGTCACACATAAAGATAAATAATTTTTGGAGTAATGCTAATTTGTGTACACGGAAAAGAAGAGGAATCTGTTACTGTGAACAAAATCACCCAAACGGAATATCAACGTGGTACGGCTTCATTTTTTAAGCGTTCGAAACTACAAGACCGGACCCTCGAAGAGATGCTTTTTTAAAGAAATGCTCCAAGTACAGAGATAGACTCTGTTCTTCTAATTTCCATAAAATTCGTTTCACACTTTCGAACCCCTGTATATAAGAAACGAATTTTACACAGCGACTGGGATCAATAACAGGTTTTTATCTCTTTTTTTTTCTTGTATTAAATAGGCCTATATAATGAGACACAAATGTATACTGATGCCGAGGTACCTGCGTGTACATGGTAGTGATGGCGACACTATCTCAAATTCAAGGGTGCGCACCTTCCTCTTCCCCTTCGCGTTTGAGCATGTTCATAAATTAAATTTTAGTTTCTTGTGGCTTAAAAGCGCCTTGAGACGGTTTTTACTGTGGAAGCCCAACACAGATAATTATACTGTGAATGAACGTAATTTCATTAGGTTTAAAATTCTTAAACAAGCTGCAATATTCATTGTGTATGGTGTTTTCGTAACAGAAAGTGTCTTCGATTGATGTGTAGAAATGACACATAGGCCTAAGGATGGTACGAAGTACCCTTTAAAGCCATTAATAGGGTGTAATTTCTCATCTCGATATTGAAATTATAAAAGGTAGGGTAGTATTCCTTTTCAATTTTCTTACGCCTACATTATAATCAATATTAATGTGACCAGTCTTTCCGACCATTAAAACCGCTGATATGTTTAAAGCATTTTTGCAGGATCCTTTCAACGGAAGATAAATATCTGTAGGTAAATTTCCGCATTTATACGACACAAGCCGAATGTGTTACGAAGGAAGGTCCTTTTAAGTCATCTCTATTCTCTCACGCAGAATAACAGCACACATTAATGATAATTAAACGATGGTCTACTTTAAATAACCTTTTCTGCAATAAAACAAAAACTGACGCAACTGACTTGCACTGATTTAACCTGTCCTCATTCAATATTAAACACAATCACGCACTCCTTTCTTCTGCTAATCACCAATCACCTTCTCCATTACATTCACCTCGCTTACTGCCTTTCAGATTTCTAGTCGTGAGGTCGACTTTATAAACTCTTTTTATATAAATTTACACTTGTAAGTAAATAATCTGCCAGACTTTTTAAATAGGCCTATATTTAGGGTTCAATATTGTTTGTAGTCCGAGATTAACCTTCTAAAATCGATGGCTGGATGGCTGGCTCCCATTTTTCACTGCATAATGTACCTATAGGGTACCGTATCCGACCAGCTGTCGAAATCCAGTTTGTCGAAACCCAGTTTGCCGAGTTAAAGACCACTTTGCCGAAACCCAGTTTGCCGAATCCAGTTCAGCGAAAGCATGATAAACCCAGTTTGCCAAAACCCAGTTTGCCGAATCTTGCTGGCACCATCGTACAAAAGCTCATCATACTGTGCTTTTGAAAAGTCAGACAGGAGTCGTATTTAAGTGGTCGTTACAGCTGAGTGTCTCACAGCAAGGAAAAGTGGTTGAGCAAATTGGGGTGTGGCGAGCACCCTTTTTACCACTCACTGGACCCACTACTGACCCCGACATAAACTGTCAGATGTCTTGTCAGATTCAGCTCACTCCCCCTGCCGTATTGTTTCCCTTAATCGGTGTAAAGCAGGCACACTCTATACCTTATACCAGAATTCTACCGGTCACCAAAGAGGATTAGTCCGACATATTTTATTCCACGATCAGAATTATGAGTATTAGTCTCTCAATGAAGAATCAACACCATTTCGTTTGTGTGTATGGCCTATGTTTATTCATGAAAAAATACACTTGCTTAACTAGCCTTATTGCATTTTAAGGCATGCTAGGACCCAGGGCCTACGTAAACATTGTTCATGGTAGGCCTGTTCCCAATACCAAATACTCTTCAGTACACACGTGTACACGTCATACGTATCCACAAAGTTCAAATGCACCTCTGCCTCAACAATGAGACTGAGGGGACTCATCTGCCGGGAACAAATAACTATTTGTCGGGTAATGCTAATTCCACCGCTCGAATTTACAAAATAATTTAATAAAATTGTCGAAATATTGTTTATTCCAGGCCATTAGTAACAAGTTCATATACTACTGTATTTAAACAATTATGACCAACACTGTACTGAGGATTCAATATAGTGAATACTGACAGCGGTGGTTAATGGACAAAATGCCAACAGTGTTACTATGGATAAAATTACAAAGTTGGTTATACATTGCACATTAGACAGGCGCGGATACGATAGGGGGCACGGGGGCACATGCCCCCTCGTTTTGCCACTAAAGTTTTAAAATGTCAATGCATATAAATGTTATGTGCTCTCAATTTTCTGTTCTAAAACTGCTGTGTGCGCCCCCACCGCCCCTGTTAGAGCTACTCAAACAATCCAATAGTGACCAAAAATGGACTACGGTATAGCATGGTTGGATATACGTATTATATTATAAGACAACATTTAGGTTGGTCCGTACCAAAATGATAGAGGTTCAGATAAATTATGAGATTGTGGAGGTATGCCTCTATAGATGAAACAATTACAATTTGGCACGTAGACGCAGTTTACTGGAAAGCTTCTTTGTCTTAGAAGCTGTCTAGTACATTCTGCGCAGATCTTGTTATCTACTTAATCCTACTTAAAACAAACTGGGATATTTCTGTAAAGTAATCAGTATCACATTTCTGAATAATATATCTGATATATATGTGTAAACGTCAAATGACACTCGATGAGTGCTCTGATGACTGGAATTATTAAGCTTGGTTTATATTACAGTAGCACGTTTAAGACAAACGCAATAGAATTGACGCAAACCTTCTTTCTCAATGCGCAAACGAAAGTCGCGGTAATTTTTCTACTTTCCGTCACATTCCCTTTCTTGAGCAAAAAATGTTTAGCTGCGTCAGAACGCGTCAGTCAACTTTTGCATACGTTTGCGCATGTACGTAATTCAAAATGGTTAACACTGAAAATGGACAGCGGTAATACGTCTGTTGTCGTAGATGTAGAGTTTTTGTTTGCGCGAATTGCATTATATTGTTCTTATGAGAACCAAACTTTAAAGGAAAAAACCTTTTTTGACGTTTCTGTCCAATGGGTGTCATGCTGTGAAATTTATACAAAGATAACAAACACCATTAAAATTTATATTTTCACAAACATTAAACATATAAATGACTATTTAAACACTTTAGCAAACATCTATTTTTTATACATTATTTTGTTGTATAAATGTAGTAATTGTACTCCCCACAGTACATATAGTATGTTTAGATTATTTTTAGAGACTAGTTTACTAAGTACCGTATCCATTGCGGCCAAATCTAAGGCTTGAAAATACATATAGCACTTTTTTATAGGAAAGAGCAGAATTTAAATTATAGCCATGTCTCGACTAGGCCTAATACCTACGGTCAATTAAACTTCTTTTATATAGAAATCCATTTACTGTAATCATGCGACATTGATTACCTTTATTTTTTTTAAATAAAACACAAATTTCAATTCTAAACACGGAACTGTGCCGTGTGACTGTATAGACGATAAGTTTAGATGATTGGTTCAAATAAACACTTGTTCTGATCGCGCTGCGCGTACACATGGGCAAATACACACATATTATATATATATATATATATTTATACACATCTAGATGTGTATAAGAGATATATATATATATATATAGGCCTATATATATTTATATATATACACATACATATATATATATACATTTATATATATATATATATATTTATATATAAATATCTATGTATATTATTTATATAATATGTACCCAGTACATCTTTCGAGACGAGTAGGGGGTTACCCCGGTGGACTGGTCCACTCGGCTCCTGTCCTGGACAGATGAAAGTTACTGGCTGCAGAGGACATGAAACGATCCTCAGGGAAGAGAAAGTTATTGAAAAATTGCCAACATCTCCCACTGCGCCACTAGCAACGATTGTTGGAATGGCGCAATATAAATACGATCTGATTTTTTTTTCGTCTTTGTTTTCAAAATGTCTATTTACTTTTAAATTTTTTAATTTTAAGGAAAGATCACGCGTGTGAACATGGCTCTTATTGTACAGAAGATGAAAATGTGCATGTTAGTTTTGTACGTAAGCTTGTCTTTGAGTCTTGTTAACCCACTGAAAAAAAGCTTTTAGAATGAGGGAAACGATAAAACTACGATACCAATAGGTATTGAATAGAACGTGTGTACAATGCTGTAGCTAATAGGTTTAGATGAGAGTACTTGCAGTTGGGGAGTCGGGCCGACGTTTTGATGTTTTGTGATACATTGAACTGTAGGTCCCCTTTAGGCGTATGTGGGCTTTCTTGCTGAATCTTATACACTTGCAGAGAGTTCGTCTGCCAAACGCCAGTTCCCGGAGGCACTGGCGGAAGCTGGATCCCGCCAATGCGTAGATGACAGGATTGAAAAAAGCATTGGCGTAGATAAGTGAGATGCAGAATACTCGAATATGTCCCTTGATAACAGACGAGCTATTATCAAATAGCATCCACAGGTTAAAAATATGAATTGGAGCCCAACAGAAACCAAAGACAAGAACTACTGTTAAAACCATACGTGTTGCGCGCCATTTCTGGGCAACAGTGCTTGCTGTCTGAGAATGTCCGTCGGCCAATGCTTCGTCCTCCGGTTTGAACTGCCTCAAACCCCACAGTAACTTCAATATTAACACATAACACACAGAAATGATAACAAGCGGGATGACATATGTTATAATGGTAGAGTAGATGGTATAGCCTTTGTCAAACTGTACACTGGGAAACACTGGCCGACAGGTTTTCGTAGCTTCTTGGTGATGCCAATGTTGTATTTCCACCTTGTAGTACAGAGCTGGTGGTATATGTAAGATGAAGGACACTGCAAAATAAAAATAAAATACATTATTATTTCTTAAAAGATGCGAATGTAAAGTTGTTCGTTTACAACAGACTTACTTTTCCGCCAATATTTTATCAAAAAGGGGTTTACTGAAAACTAGTTTTATTTGAACAAACTTACTATGTAAGATATTGACTCTCTTGCAAATTTATACACTTTTTATCCACAGATTTGGAAATGTGCTCTAGTTAGCATAATCTGAAATCCTAGTGAAGTTATCATAGGCCGATATGATAAATTTGACATGTTAATAAATCTATATTCGATTGTATGTGAACGTATATAGATTTATTAACATGTCTTCGTTTTCCGATCAGCTTTGCAATGCCTAAACTTAGTCCCCTAACTTTAACGAGAGATTAGTGGCCAAAATCTTCAAATTCATATTATAATTTACCGTATCGTTGTTTCGAAAAAAAGTTAATTATAGACAATATAAGACTGGTTATGTATTTTTTTTAAGAAAATCAAATATAAAATACTGTTTCTTATGCGACTTGCATTACAAATCCCCACTGATGGAGTGACATGGGAAACATTTGTTCATGGAAAAAATGTCTAAGATACGAAGAAGAAGCTGGAGGGTTTGATCCATATATAGTACAATTTATTTCTTGTACAGCTCAGTAATTGCATTGAATAGTTTAGTTTTGAATCATTGATTTGTTAAGCTACCGGCAGCATAATATTTTAATCTGAATTATATTAGCGTTCACACGGTCTCTTTTATTACTAAAATCAGCTCTGACATCAACATATCGCTATAAATAACCCGTTACTGGCATGGTCGGCGCCTATGTCGTTATTTTCAATGAATATGATATTATCACTATTTTCCTAGTGTTGAGATTTGCACCAAAGTCCCTACTACTAATTGAAATTAGACAGTAAAACTCGTTAAGTGTTTTAAATCACCTGCTGTCGCTTTACTATACCCGAATTGATAGGTTATTCACAATTTTCTTTTTGACGAATTGCGTTTGATTAGGTTTTATACCAAAATTAATGTTATGTGCATTTCATTCATTTGGTTGGTGGTTTTTTGCGTGTTTTTATAGCGTTATGTTTTATTTTGATTTCACTATGTTCGACGGAACAATTATAGGTTATACAGTGTCTGTGAGCTTGGTTTCTTCTTTTTCTGCGGAGGAAGGTATTTATATGAAACAAATACATATTTAAATTTATTTGATGTTTCGTACGTTAAATTTTGTCGTTTATTGCTTATTGTTTAATTGTGCAGTTTAATAGGTCTATCTGTTCTGCCATTAGTACAATCGTGCTTTTATGATTTTACACTATCAGTTCGAAAATTGGAATTAAATTTAATTCAATCATCCCTCGGAAATAGTGCACTGAAGACTGATTGAAAACTAAATTATTATCTGTAATTAGGCCTAATGTGGGCCTAGGTATAATAGGTGTAATTGAAGTTTGCGTCCTCAGCAATACTGTAGCAATTTGAATAAATGTAAACTTAATGTTCAAATGTCCATCGTTGTAACCAGTAGAAAATGAATATGATACCGGATCAAACATTTAAAGTCTACGACTGCTGTCATATATTAATGCAGCACTCAACTAAATCCTGATTTGTATAAACATTTCGATATCTGCGACGTTTGGTCGAAACAATTTATGCTTTCGGTTTTTGACCTCATCATTCCATATTGTGGTAAATCTTCTAAGCTGTTTCCTATATGATATATTAGTGTGTATGATCAACGTTTGTTTTTGTAATATTTTAGCTTTTTACTTTAATTCTAACTACATGAGTGTGAAGGATTAGATGATTTAGTCGGGTTTGAATTCTCAACAAACCTCAATGGTACAATCTGTTAAGGCGTTTGCACAGACAATAGACGGTCTCCTGTTCGAATCCCGGGATAACTATTTTTTCACACTCGCAGATTCCTCTTCTTTAACGTTCTAAATGTCTATATATTTTTGTTGTCGTCGTTTGAACGATTTATTCAACATGAATGCACTGTTATTCGATAAAACATAGAATTCGCTTGCTAAAGAAACTAGACGAAACAAACAAACAATATACTTGAAAAAGAGGAAGGACAATCGAAAGCCCTGACACAAGTCACATAAGGTTCCCTTCTATGAAATTTGAATTCCAAACTAATGCCCAGTGGCACAGTTGGCAAGAGAGCTAAATGATTAACAGAGGAAATTTAATCTTGTTGACTTCATACTTTTATTCCACTACAAATTTGTTTCTTATAGTCAGTAGGGCTGACTACACTCATCAGGTTGAGTTGTACACATTAATTAAGCATTCAACTTACTGAGCCAAATCATAGCTATGATCACCGATACCCTGCCTGTCGTTCTATTGAAACGTGATGTAAGTGGGCATTGAATGACGTAAAGACGATCCAGTGTCATCATCGTTAACGTTGAACAAGAAGCTTGGACAGTCACCTATTAATAAAAAGAGACAAACAACTAGAATAAACTATGTAATGATAATAAAAATACTAATAATAGTATTCATAAAACATTAATTATAGAAACCTGTTAATACAAAATATAATGGTTTAATTCCCATTGCTGCTCTCATTGGGTTTCATTTTAACTGGAGGGATGAAATTTAGTTACAAAGTGCACCTTTTGGGCGAGACGTTTAAGCCGTTGTGTTCGAGAGCAAATAAAGCCAATGTGGGCGGAGTACAGGTGTACTGCACCATAGTGCAAGGTCAGGTTCGAGTCGCTGGTTTCTTTTTACACGTTATAAAATAAATAAGTTTTATATATATATATATATATATATATATATACATACATATATATATATATATATATGTTATACATATATCTATATATATATATATAGGTCTATGTTTCTCAACGAAGCTCAGGGTTGGTTATGGCGTCTGTCTGCATAAAAAACACAGCCTATAGGCTACGATAGTTCGTGCCGATACATACATTATGATATATTTAAGTATTATATAATCCACAGAGATCTTGGCTCGTCGTCATTAACGCTAAGAACGAGAACGTGGCATATTCATCGTTGCTATACGTCGCACTTCTCAACTAAACGTCGCCTTCAGCAAAGCTTGGTTTCCTGTCGACGTAAGAAGTGAGCATTTCTTACGTTAGCGACGTTTCAACAAAGAAATATGAAATTTGGATTCGAATTTGCAAAGAGGCCCAGTCGCCCAGGTAGCTTCACGTTTAACAAAAAGGACGATTGCGTATTGGAGTTCAATTTTTAACTCTTTGGGACGCTTCTGCTTCTAATGATAATTTATATATATTTCGAGGCTAGTGTATATAATCAAAACACAAACTATATAAATGCATTGAATGTATGGCTCATAGATTTTATTTTATTTTGATATCCTGTTTTTTTTTTTAACCGGAATTTGTTTTTAGTTGATAAATTTAAATTATTCTAGTCAACAAATCGTTTAGCATAATCTTACAAGGTCTCTTGGGTGTTTTTGAAACTTTTATATTCGATTCTCAGGCTTACTAATTCTTTTTTAATATACGTGTATTTTTAATTCGGTTGTAACACTAATATCGTGTGACTAGACTGCCAATATATATATTTATATAAATTTATATATAAATGGTATATATATAAATAAATTATATATATATAATTTATTTATATATAATATATATTTATAGCATTACCACAAGACTGTTTAACGTTATATTACATTTTATTATATATATATAAATGAACATTGAAATATATATATAGGCCCTGTCTCTTATACACATCTACCTCATCAGATGTTAATGATGATGATGATAAATTAGACGACGAAAGGGGCAGGTCCAACTATTTTTAAACAGGTGGTGGGGGTACACACCCTATTCAGAATAGATAAATGTGTAGCGCTAATTTTAATATAGGTATGAGTTGAAAGTTTAAAATTTAGTGGCAAAACGTAGGGGCGGGGGCAGTCTCTTATACACATCTAGATGTGTATAAGAGACAGGAGTACAGGTGTACTGCACCATAGTGCAAGGTTAGTGGCAAAACGGTTGGGGGGGGGGGGACGGGCCCCTACTGGATCCGCCCCTGGACGATAATGACGATGGTGATGGTAATGATAATGATGATTATGATGATGACGATATTATGATGATGACGCTAATTGTGATGATGATGATGATATTTTGTGAGGATAATGATGCTAAATTTGGCGTTAATAATGACGGTGGTAATGATAATAATGATATGATATGATATGATCATATTCATGCAAAAATGATACCATAATTTCAAATGTACTTTAAATTTTTTACATGAAATGATTTCTAAATCGAGGCAAAGTGTGTTAAGATACTTAGGCTTATTATAGATTCTGTATATGGAGATTGTTTTTGTTTTTGGTATTTCTGTAGGCCTATTATTATATGGATTTGAAATTCAGTCACAAAATGAATGAATTGCTGAAATAAATCATCATTAATGTAGGCATACTTACGTATTGGATGTACGCGTTCAGCTTACACATGAATTCCCCCATAATCCAATCAGGGAGGGTGTATATTACTGAGACGACAGGCGCACAGACGATAATGAAAAGCAAATCACACACAGCTAAGTTCAAAATATAAAAGTTGGTAACAGTATGCATTGAAGGGAAGCTTACAACTATATAAATGACAAGACAATTAGCAGAAAGAGCTAGAATAGAAATCACCGCGATAACAATAGGAATAACTATGCTATTTGAATCAGGATATTCCCAAGTTGGTAGCGTCATATTCTCGTCGAAATAAACCCAATAGTACGACGACGCGGATTCATAATCATCGGCCATCGTTATGAAACAGAAACTGTTCTTTAGTTATTGATCTCGTAAGCTACATTAAAACAGTATGCCGCATCGGATGTTTTCTTTGTGGCTGATGTACGCTCACAATCTGGCTTCACACTTTTATAACAATGTCCAGATATATCAAGCACTCAAGTCCCAGTAATACCGCGCATTTATCTGCGTAGATCCAAAGGTTTTCTTCGATGAGAGAGAAGTGAAAATCACTGCGAAGACCGTAGAGTATCATCCAGGAAAGTAATTCTCTCCTAGAAGCTCATTGGTTAAATATCGACCGGTAGGTCTGATTCGCTTTAGCGCCAACGCGTCAGCTTACAATTCTGACGAATAATCTTCTCGCAAGCGTTATAAAGTTTTAAATCGCTTTCTGTTCTGTAAAATCAACCCTGGTATTCAGCCGTCTTTTGTTTTCAGTATTATATATTTTCTGTTTTAAGCAGCATTTAAACCTAACTTAAGTTGTGTTGAGAGCGTACGCGTAAAACGGGACATAAATTATAGTAATTCTAAGTGTTGACGCTTTCATTGTATTTGGATCTTTCTATAACCTAATATCTATGTACGGTAATTATTAGATTATACAGAACTGATTAGATAAGACTGATATCAATTAATAGGTAATGTGACTCGCGGGAATTACGTTTCTACTGCAATGTATTCACGGCTCAGACGAGTCTGGACACAAAGACTGTGACATTTAATTGTTAATTCTCATACCGATGAATTAAACGATTGAGTAACTGCCGTACATTAATTCTTCTATGTTACGTCCTGTCGCTAATATATCAGTGTCAACACAATTAAACGTGATAAAAATATTATTAATATTAATTTTAAGCGTATCTTTAGGGTTGGATAGGTTCCTTATTTATGTATATTTTGTAAGTTGTATACTGTATTATACACTATATGTGTATATATAGATATATATGTATATATGTGTATATATAATATAGGCCTATATATATATATATATATATATAGGCCTATATTATATATACACATATATACATATATATCTATATCTATATCTAAATAATATATATATATCCTATATATATCTATATAAGACAAATAGGCTATCAATTAATAGCTAATGTATATATATATATATATATATATAAAATATTAATAATATATCAAAAACGTACTGCTAGTTAGGTGATACATTATCTAAGTATATTTCCTTTAATAGTAATAATTCTGTTAACCGTACAAAGTACGTAGGGTTAATAACTAGGCCTATCATTTCATCTTAAAAATAATGATAATAAAAGAATATACCCCCTGTACGAAACAAAAAAATATATAAATATATTAATGTCAGGATCCGGATGAAAAAAAAAATGATATGTTGTACAACTGATTCTTCTAAGACACACAACTCGACGGTTAATGAGATACAAATTTTGTTGAATAGGCCTATTTAAATACTGGAGGAGGTGGTGGAAAAAGAATGGTCACGTCACGCCCCTTTTCCTCAGTTCTTAAATATATTCTGTGTTTCAGAAAACGTTCACAAGTTTTTCGTCAATTATGCTTTTGTGATTTTGAAAAATCAGTTTTACAACAAATCAAAATGGTTTTTTTTTCCAGAGCCTGGCTTTAAACTTCTACAGTAATAAATTTATGAATCTATGTAATCTTGAAGTATAGCCTAATATCCGGTTTCCCTTAAACTGTGTTTGCCACTTATTAACATAGAGTACTTTAATAATCAAATTTTTGGTTCCGACATTTCACATGCTGCTAGGATATAGGTTTCCGTGGGAACCTTTCACTTTTAACTATAATGACGACATATCACTATTCTTTATTATAAATTAAAAGTTATCAATAGTCAATGCCTTTTATTTACAAATATGAGAAAATGAATAACATTTACTTGTTATTATCTTATAGCATTTTGAATAAGTATATATTATTATGGTTACCTCCGCAAGTGACAAAGAAAATGATTTATGAGATCTATCTAATGTTTACAAGCACATTACCCGTAAACAGTCGAATAGTTACTGATGAAGCACATCACACCAAACCTTGACACGTGTGAACACTGAAAAACAAAACTTCTTGACTCTGATTTGAATTATTTCAAACACATTATAACATCACTGCAAAACAGGATAATCACTGCGCTCGACGATTGTCGACCGACGCGATTCAATGGAGACGCGCGCAACGGATAGTTCATATGACTATCCCGTTCAGACTGCAAGCAGTAGACTGCGTCGCATCGTATAGTGCTCACAGAGAGCGGAGTTGGATTCGTCGTACGACACAGCGATTGCCTGTCGTAAGAGGCAACGGAGTTAACAATAACACACTGTTTTTTGAAGGTTTGCATGGCGAAGTAACAATAAAATATAGAATTTCAATGATAGAAATTTAAAATTCTAAAGTCCTCAAGTATTTAACGACTAAACAAATAAAGAATATAAAAACTAATTTAAAAAAAAAACCTGATTTCATGTTTGTACAATGATATAGCAAATCTGACCTATGTACGTTTTATGTCGACTGGTCAGGACGTGGGCGATTATGCATTTCCATAGATTGATTTCTTTCGTCGCCTTCTCATTCCACTCCCTCACAATTCCTCTCATATTTTTTCATCAACATGGGCATCGAGGAAACGACTTATTGATATAATCCTTGTAGGATTATTCAAAATTTAAAAATTACATTTAGCGTAGTCCAAGTTTTACTTGTATATTTAAACTAATTAAATTAAGATGGAGGTCAAATAAAGTAAGAACGCACATGAAAGATAGTATCGAGAAAAAAAGAATAAGCAGAATAAAATGAAAAAATTAAAAAGATGTGTGTAGGTATTCCTAATTGACTAACCTAACATGGCAGCACAAATCATTGTATTGACTGTGCCACAGTAGACTAGAACCAAAACGAAGACATCATCAATGATATTAAAGATTTGCTTTGAGGTTGGTTCGAGCGAAGTATTCTTCAAAGATAATGAATCGAATTTAAGTAATATTTGTCAACTAAATACTAAATGTAAAACGTATAAAAAAAAATTGGCATGGCCAGTAGCTAAGCCATTTGGAAAGAGCCAGACAAAAAGTGAATTGTCAATACTTGTAAATGCGATTTTTTTCTTTCAATTCTGCATTATTATGTTTTACAATCATGTTTTACTTTTCTTTATTTTTGTTTGTTGTTCCAATGTGACATCTTTCATGCGCTTGATAAAACCATGACCTGGATTGTTTGTTACATTCTAATTATCGTTTCTTGAATAAAGAATGATTCGACGAGCATAAAATCTTTTCACATTTGGGTCTGTTTTAATGCTGTCTTGAAGATTGCTGTAAAGTCATGGAGAATAGTAAATTATTCAATCCTTTAATGGTAGTAGATGGGGAATTCGAAAAGTCACTTTAGGCGTCATCCACGACTATCGTGACATTAGGGTTGTTAGCAGGTATAATTAAAAGTTAATTTAAATATTATGTTGCGTTATTGAAGAATAATCTATATTAATACAACACGATATGACGATCGCCGTATATCAGACTATTGGTGTCAAATGGTAAACGTTATGCAATTAATCAAAATTTTCTGTCAGATTCGACCTCGGAAGTTGGATTAATAACGATTAAAGATAAGTGTATCTATACGCAAGTATATTTACATTTTGCACTTTAACAACATAGACCTACACTTTTTTTTATAAGAACCAGTACAATTTTGCCTATAATAATAAAGATTTATAAAGCGCACATCTCCACCAAAGGTGCTCAAGGCGCATAGACAATTAAACCAACAAGATCCAAATAATTCCCAGAATTTTCAGCAAAATTAAATTAATTTTTTTTTTTTTTTTTTTTTTTTAAATATTTTTTGTG